GACAAACTGAGAGAAATATAAACGTACTTGCGAGGCGAAACACGAAAGCCGAAAGCAGCCGTTGTAGCTGAGACTGGCTGTGTATGCGTGTTATGCTCTCTGCGTCTGCGCCATATGTTTCTGTGCCTGCTCCCCCATATCACTGCGGACTCCTTCGCGGTGTATCCCAGGAGGGTTACAGAGTAGCATAGATTTTCAGTTTTCTTGCAAATTAGTTACATGTCTTTTCAGTACATGGCGGGTAGGAGGCTGTACTGATGATTCCCACTCCTACTCGCATGCACTGTTCGGTCTGTGTATACAGCTCAGGGATGAAACACAGACTGCATTATGAAATTTTCTCTTATACATGACACTTAATTCCAATCTTTTTATCCCACTATTTTTGTTGTCCCGGAAGATGTACGGTGGCGTCAAGTGAAGACACGTGGGAGTGTGTGCATTTTGGCGGGAAATTTCGCAACTCCGGGACCAAAGAAGGCAGAAAGCCAAAAAAATCAAGAGAATGTTTCCTGTCCATGTGCGATTTCGGAAATTTCACACCCAGCTTCCATGTACGCCCAAATCTCATGTAAGGAAAGATATGGGTTTAAGCCAAACAGAGCATTGCAATGATTTCCGCATATATCAAGCTCACTGACGGATCTAGGCGCGGCGGAAGGGAGGAGGGAGGCAGGGGCTTAGGTAGCAATTGTTTTACTGTACAAAAGTCTGCCCAGCACCCCCTGTCGCCTTCCCTCGATTCGTCTCTGTATCAAGGCAACAAAGCAATCAGTCATTTCTAGTAGCAGAAGTCCACTAGACAGAACTACACAAAACGCACGGTCGCATTAGCTACCTTTGTGCGCACCAATATTTGTTGGCTTTCACTGACTTCGAACTCTCGGTAAAAATCAGCATTCACATCGCGCTGCACCCCAAGATTGACCTCAAGTCCAAGTTCTGACTGTTGGTGAACAATGAACAATATATACCGGGCTAAAGTAAAGCAGCTTGTCCGCACATTTGCATATGCAAATAATATGGATTTTCAGTTATAAAATTATGTAATATTTTTTTTTTTTTTGCTTTTTTAAGCCTTTGAATTGGGAAACAAATCGCATTCCTGCGTGTTTACGTCTTTTCCTATTTCTCTAGGCTTTCTTTTTTTATCCTCAGAAAAACATTTCACATTTTTACTTATCTCCTTTCCCAAAAAATTCGCTTTACTCCATTTCCCTCATTATCGTCTTCTATCAACTTTTT